TTTTTGCTTTTCTATTTTTAAACTTGTTCTCCATTTATATTTCAATTCTTTATTCAGTTTTCGTACAATAAGTATCGACATGTAGTACGACAGAAATTATATGTAGATAAGAGTATCTTAAGATTTGTAATCGTAACTACCAATAACTAAGTCCTAGTTAAGTTTGAAAAGGTTAAAAAATCAACTCAATTAGGATTATGGTGTGTGATTGACAATAATCTTACCCACATACCGTACAAGAAGTGAACAGACATAATCAAAGATGATGACAGATGTAATGTATGTTTCATTTTATTCAATTCGAAAATTCATTCACAATATCGAGAAGTGTCTCCTAACAACAATACATAAGACCTAATTAGCTGCACATTGAGCGAGTGTAATAAAATGTAAATGACTCAGGGCGCACATAAAATTAGGTTTAATAAAATGCACATCTAGCCACTTACTAGTAGCGTCATAATGTTTCGCGAGCTAACGTCAGCACGGAACGATACAACTGTGTTTACTAATCAAATGTGCCATTTAAATAACTGTTGAAAACACGTTTTAATACTTTCATTCTAGGAAATGTATGAATCACTAATTTATAGTCTTGATATTTGGACAACATAGTAAAGGTCAATACTAACTTGAGATAATGTAGTATGATTGAACTTTAAAACTTTCCATTAGGAAAAGGTTTCATATAGTAAGTTGCAAAAAAGTTGTTTATATATCAACGAAAAGAAACGGTCTAAGCAAATGTTTAAACAATTACAGAATATGTTAATAAACTCACTTTTATTTTTGTAATTTAAAAAAGAAGACAATTTAAAAAGTATCGACACGCCATCATTCATATCTTTCCCATCACTATTTCATCACACGTGTTCTCTAATTACGCGCTTAAATTGTATTAATTAGTGCGCGACTGAAAGGGTTCCGTCACAATTAAATGGCATTTTAGCTGGTACGGAACCCGCTATTGTTCTCTGTATAGGGGTCATTAACATAATTTTAATTTTATTTGTTAATTGTACTTGATATGATATCGTTTTGATGTGAGTGTGATATTAATTTGGAACGTCTGCGTTGCTTATTTGGTTATACAAATGAGATGCATTGTACTGAAGTTGATTTTAATTCTAGGTGACACGTAGGTAATTAAATATTGCTTGAGAAGAGCTAAGAGCTATCCGTCCCAAAGATATTATAAGTAAAATGGTATAGATAGGTTACAGAAACAACATTCGATTTTCAAAAACGGCAAACTTATGCACACTTGAATAAATCGTATAAACCACGTTAAAGTGGGATGGCATGATTCAATAATCGCGAGTGAAAAAGAAACAAATATGAAAAAGTGTGGCTAGTTAGCCACATTTTATAATGTATCACTTGCTGAGCGCTTGAAACCTATCTACAGGTTTTTATTTTTAATAACATTAATCCGTCCCCTATTAAAATAGTGTTGATCATCCGATTTCAAAACGGATGAAGCCAGAATTCACGCACAACAGGTTACACGTAAAACTGCAACGAACTTAAAAAAAAAGTACTTATTCATTATAATAACTAAAGCAAAAAACAAGAAGCGATTTACAAAAGGCGTATACAGTAAAATATAAAAAAAACTAAATTGGGTACCGTGAAACTTGAATAATTCGGGGAGGAGGGGACGGGAAGCTGGGAGCGTTACTAACATCAAAAAGAGGCTATTATGAAAAATCGTAACACGCTTACTGGGCGGACGATGCTACATTATTCATGAGTGAAATTGCTCCTTCCCAGTTACCTGTGAACGTTGCTATTATTTATAACCGTTCCGGATAATAACCGTTATTGGGGTGTACGCCCCGCCCTAGTCGATGCTGAACTTAGATTATGTGCTGTTATTTACTGTTTGTTTATACGGCATTTAACGTTTCAGACGATTATTCGTTGGCGTGTTTTTAAGGTTACGTTTAAAAGGCTATTTTCGACTGCATGTGTGGGAGAATCATGCTTTGGCACGAATGGGTCGGTTCGACCGGAATGATACCACGGCCTCACAGAAAACCGGCGTGAAACAACCACATCGTTGTGTTTTGCCGTGTGAGTGAGGTTACCGGAGGCCAAATTACTTCTAAACCTTAAATATCCGACACCTTCATCCCTAAAAAGCCGGCAGTCGTTACTCCTTTGGTGTTGCGGGTGTCCATGGGCGGCGCTGATTGCTTACCATCAGGTAATTCATCTGCCCGTTTGCCAACCTATACCATAAAAAATAAAAAACAAAAGAAACTTATTTATAGACAGTCTCTATTCTCTCTTTTCTTCTCGAAACAAACAAACATGGTAACCATGCATCACATAACATCAGTACTAACTACCAATCTACTCCTTGATGAGGCTATCAGCTGATCACCGTCCACGGAAGATGTTTTCTTGTAATCCCAAAGTAAGTCTCAAGTACAATATTTTCTATCCCACGTGTTTTAGTGGAACCCTGTCATAAGGAATCGAGTCACGAGTCTCTGCGACTGTCGGTAGCGTAACCTGCTTACGGCACAAACACTCGTGATTGCTAACGACACCGGCACGGCACCGGCGGCGCGACGAAACGGCAAATTGAATCAAACGTTTTTCTCTAAGGGAGGATTAGTTAGCTTTGTTCAAGTTTTAGCTATGATTTTGTTGTTTTTACTTTATTTTGAGGTTTTTAAGGTATACGAACCGCTTTCCTTGACGATTAACGTGGAAAATATTTTAATTTCTGGTTTTGTATTCCTAATAAGTAATGAACAGTAATGTGACCAATCGAATACGAATTCATTTATTCCCATTATCTTTTTTAAACTAACGTAAAAAAGCAGAAAGTATTACATCAAAATCTATTGGACGTATAACTTTTACATAATTACTGTTGTCCTAGTACAGTCATCTAATAAATCTGTATTCTATGCCAACGTCTGCAGTGGTATGCTGGCGATGATGATGTTATATGAGGGTTAGAATAATTGACATTTACAGGCTAAAATTAATTTATTAATTGCCTCTAGTTTGTACAATGAATAAATTGCTAGTTACATAAGAACAGAGACGGAGAATGCCATGACATAAACAATATTATTTGATCTGCTAATGTCGCACTAAATCACAGAGCAAATCTCCGTGAACAAATATCCCGGCAATCAATAAGTATCCTTGATCCGATTATCCTGATAAAACGCGAGCGACACAAACACAGCGCGTTGATTATAAAAGTGGAACAGAGCAAACGAGATGATCCGAGCGCTCCGCCCGACGCGAACCGCGCTCCGCTCCGCTCGCCGTAAGCAAAAACTCAATTATCATATTTTATACCTCATAATACTTACGAAAAGATATTCAATTATATAATTTTTCCTCTGAAAAGGGAATCCCTTTTCATTTCTCATTTGGATTTTTCTCTTAAGCAATTACGAGGCAGCCCGGGGGAGCGAGAGATTGGCTCCGCGAATACATTTGCACGCCGCGCGCCGGACGCGCCCGTTCTAATTTATCTTTTAACAAGGAATGGAATGTTATGTTAACTTATGCGCAGACCGCGTTAGCTCTGTTTTCGTTTAATAAAAGTGTGTTTCGCGGATGATTTTATGAGTTTCGGCGAGTTATGAATTTGTTTGTGCACAGAATAGAAATGAGCTCATTTCGTGCTCCCCGGCCGACTTATGTGTGGAAATTATTTATCTATTATTTATACCACAGCTTTACTTACCTACCCATAAACAACAAAATTAATTCGGTCCCAAGATATTCGCTACGATTGCCACAGATCTGCCAAACTCGGCCAAACATAATTTGTGATGGAAGGACATTATGTTTGTAACAAACGAAGTTCTCGCTCGGCAAGTCCGCTCAAGCGGCTCGGCACAATTCGATTCCGACAAGCGGCGGATCGGATTCGGGCGAAACTCTGGTAATCGCATCGCGCGGCCGGGAACACAAATTATTCGTGCGCCGAAACTGGCTAACTTCGTCAACCCTATAAAGGAGGTAAAGAACAAAGCGGAACCACAATTGGCCGTGGATCCTCTACCTGAGTCGATGGAAGTTTTAAAAATGGCGGCTCTTTGAGAGCAAACTCGATAAGGGCACGCCCGCGGGACGCGTAAATACAATTTGCAAGGAATCGCTCGTGCCTTTGACGTGAGTCGCGAGTTGTGAGCGAAGTGAGCGCTCTCTGTGTGATACGTGGATCTGTCGACGACTATAAGTGAAAAATCTAATATAGCTCCGATGAATATTTAGCGAGCTCTACAAACTACGCTAATGCGATATCAAATCAATTTGTTTATTCAGTTTGAGAAGTCTGGCGCAAGGGACATGTCGAGAATTGCTTTTTGTTTATTTTCAGATTCAGACGCAATAATATATTTTCGCGAACTTTAATTTATTGTGAAAGATAGCATACGATTCTTAAAGTGTACTCACATAGCTATATAAGTATCTTATTATATTATTTTGATTTTGTTTATGGAATAAGTCAGCTAATAAGGAGAAGACAAATCATTGGTGCCGTCATGAACACTCACACCAAAGACCTTTCGTGAGTTGTTAGAGATGGGGGCACTGGACCTCCGGAAAAGTTTCATAATAGGTGGCTCAGTTACCTACATAAAAATAATACTCATCCATAATTTAAGTTATCATTAAAATAAAATGTCTCAGAGTTCGGCAATGCGCTTTTTATTCGCAAAACACCAACAAAATGAAATGCAAACTTGACTATAATGAGGGTAGTTTTACATTTGTTATTTGGGGCCGTAATTCATTAGTATTAACTTTGACTTCTAACGGACATGACGTGGCGACTTCATTTGATTGATGATGCGAACTTTATATTGTTATTTGATTGAGATAATTAACATCTTCTTAATAAAGTTTTAAGTAAGTCAATTATTACCGTGATATTGTTTTTTTTTTGTGAGGGGAAAATCATTAAATGACTTCTCCCGCCCACGGTCGGGCGGGAGGGAGTGTCAGACTCTTACTGACTAAGAAACCCCCGTTCCTTCTCCTGCCCTGGGACGAGGTCGCGGTGCCTCATTGCGCTTACCCCACAACCCCGGCTGAACATCAGCCATATAGGGCCCCGTCTGTGGTGGTCTATTGACTCTTTGAGGCGCGCGCAGAACGCTATGCGCTGTACGGTCGGGTCTGGTTTTGGTCGGACTTCGAGCTACCCTTACTTGCCGAGCATAACTGTTTCCCTGTGGTAGTGGGTGCAAGAGAATGATGTACCAGACTCCCAGCCTAGAGCAGGAGGTTTTTTTTGTCAATCGGGTTATTACAAATCAAGGTTTAAGTCTAGCCCTAAAGCATTGAACCAGTTTTGTATTTCAAATTGAAGGTAGGTGAGGATAAGATTCAAAATACAAAACCTAAGATCTTGTTTTGTAATAAGGGGGTAAGAGTCTAACACTCTCTCTCGCCCTGCCCAGAGCGGGGTAATTTGATGATTTACAACCAAAGATATTGAGTGTCAAATACTTATTCCGTTAAATTTTTTTTAGCAAAAGCAAGCGCTATCATAATCGGATAAAAAATCGCTTTCATAATGAGATAAAAAGAGTAAGTCAAAAAACTCAAAGTTAAAACATTTATGAAATAAAATGTTACAAAACACTAGCACACTAGTAGGACTTTTTGTGTGGTAGGTGCGTATAAAAAATACTTATTTCACATACACATGACACCTAGACTCGGAACAACAATTTGAATCACACAAAGAGTTGTTCCGTTCCGGAATCGCCGTCATCGCGTCAACCTAGTCATATAGATAAACAGTACCATAACCCTTCAAATTAATACCTAAACTCAAAACAGTAGGTATTCACGTAACCATAGCAACGCTGTACACACCCCCGAAATTATATACTGACAAAAACGCACCCTACTCCACAAAAAATACAGTGTGTTTTTCTTTGAAAAGTGAAAGGTGAAAAGAGTTTTATTGGACAAAATGTCGTTAGGTACCCGTATCGGAGTCGTCCCGTGTTAGTTTCGTTACGGCAACAAGCCGGACGGACTCGGTTGGAATTTAGCGCTGTGCCAATATTAGTTTTGGGAGTTAACTGTGAATTGGTGCCTTTTAACTGTTTGTAGTTAATCTTAGAGTTTAACACCGAGTTCGGTAACACCTAGTTATACTGTTAGTTCAAAAGCGACGTCATTTACTTGTAAAATTGTATCTAAATATATATAAATCGCATCAAAACATCAAAAAATAAATTAGGTATGTCGCTGAGACAAGGCTGCTGCTTCGTAAAGATTCACGAAACATCTTACTTCAAAAAACCTGTGTAAGAATCATGCTTCAGCACGCATTAGCCGGCTAGATATCACGTTCTCGCAGACAACCTGCATGATGCTTGGGTTGTGTTTCGGCATGTGATTGAAGTTATTGCTATAGGTAATCTGTAACAGCTGTAACCTAAAAGTGACGCATTCGGAACTGCCCTGCTTTAACGACACTGGAGAAAATATTAGCAAAAAAAAAACACCAACTCCTAAAAAAAGATCAACCTTAAAGTCTGATGACAAAGAGTAAAAAATATATTTAATTACCCTTGTACAATTTCACCCGCATACGGTCAGTTGAGGGTTGGAAGCGCTCAATCTCAACCCGTCAGCGATCAGTGGGCAATTTGATTTATTTTTTATGACCACTTGAGTCTATGACTCTATGTGACTGTATGCAGGCGTGGCTAATGAGCTGTAAAGGGTTAATTCGTCATTGTATTGTACAATATTGTATTTTTGGTTAAATATTTTGGGTTAGTATTAAAAGAATTGCCTCATCATACTCAGAGATACGAGTATGTAGGTGTATATAGGTACATTACGAAAAAACCTTGTTGAAATAATATAATTTATATGGACTTCTATAGCTTAAAGCAAATATACATTAAACATATATTCAACTAAATATATGTTACATAAACTAACAAACAAAAATAACAACAAATATATTTTCTTTGGCATTCATTAGGAGTATAAAGGCGACTTCACGCTGTCGTGCGGATCGCTGCGGCACGCGCGACCTATCGCAAAATATTGTCAATTGCCCGCAGCGCTCAGCGGGTGGCTCGCTCATTGCGCTTTGTTGAACAGCAGTGGCAAGTGTGAAAAATATTATTATAAATAAATAAAAAACATTGATACTACTTACTACGCTTAAACCTCGGAAAAAATGAAACTAGAAGATTCGGATAACAAGGTACTGCATTTTTTTGTCAATTCAACGCCATGTCGTCGCTAAATGATTAGTTAAAAGTTTAAATTAAAAAAAATACACTACAGCTTTTAAATAAATAATATTGAATCTTAAAATCTCAGATTTCAGATACGTCTGTTAAGGTAGCATTAAATGAGTCATTAAAGGTAATTCAATGTTCGCAACAAAATCAAGATCCAATTACGGTACATTTAACATCAATACTCCACTTGAGCACACGCTTGAGTCGCGTGGCGTACGTGCGTTTTGTTTATCCACCAGATTCGAGTTAATTTAGCGTTAAGTGATCGCCTATTGCGACTGTAAGGTCACCCTCGACTTTCCGCTTTTTTAATCGCGTCACGACGGGTCGCCGCGATTTATTACGGACAGTGTGAATGTGCCCTATTGTCCGAACGATTTTTGTTACTTGATTGAAATCGGTTCCGCTATTAAGGCGATGTTTGTGTGACATTTTTATTTTTATAGTTTCGTTTTGGGCGTCGCTTGGTTGCGTTGATTTATAAACGATGTTGTGATAATGGTCTGTTAGTGTTAATAGTTTTTTAAAATACTTCTCAATGGAGTTCATCAGTAAGGATGAGGTAGGATCGGTCGTATTTACCTTTCTTTGGTCAAGTAAAATGCTATATTTCTAATAATACTGCAAATATATCAAAATAAATATGTGTTACGAACCGGATATCGAATAGAGTCGCGAAGCATTGAAGAGGTGTCTGCCCAACGTTGGGCGAATGTCTGCTGGTAAAGAAAAATAAAATTACAGATTTCCTTCAACATTCTTAATAATTTGACACATGGCAAAAATGCACTTTAATCAATATTTAAATAGATGTTAAAGCAAGAATAATGCACTTTATTAAAATTATAGAATAATTTTAAATTTATTTCGTCTTGTCTTGAGAAAAAAACCAACATTGTGGTGGTAACGGATTTATCCAGTTAGACACATGTTTTAATTAAATATTTAACTATGTTTTTATTTATGTTTGTCTTTTGAAACAAGTCTTGTTAACTTATACAAAATAAATGACTTTTAAAATTTAAAAATAGAATTTCTTTGCATTCTCAATGTTTGAAACAGTGAATGCACGCAAGCGGTTGAGTGAGTTGAGTCAACGCAGAACAATAGATCGGCTCAGTGTTCATACTGTTCATTAATGGTATTAATTAATGTTTAATTGAGCTTAATAGAGTATCAATTTAGCGGACGGCAATTGGATCATGCATCCCGGCACGCCGTTCACGTATCTAGGTACTTGGATAAATGGATGTAGCTTGTTTGGTGTTTTAGGTTTTTTAGGTCTGTGGTACCTACTTATTTTTTATCTATGTACGATAGCTGTCAAATGTTTTTTCTTGCATTTTTGAATTATATTTTTATCAGGTTTGTATTTATTATAATTAATGTAATTAACTCTAGGTTGCCTAATTACATCACTAGTGTTTAAAACACAGCAAAACTTGTGCTTATGATATTAAAATTAAATATAAAACGTGTTTTTATTTATAAAAAGTAAACTGAAAAAGACTTTTTTGCTAATAACCTATGTTTTCGTACAAACACTATTACAATTATGGCGTAATTTTTTTACCAGTAACAACAATTTCAACCTGTTTCTATCATAAAATTCAAAAGGGACCACTACTCTGAGAGCCACTATATTACTCTACACTATAAGGAACCCTAACATCGTAGAGCAGAGTGCGTCTCATTGTTAATTACCACGTTAATTACTGGAATTGACTTAAACAGACAACATACGATTAGTTTTGTGCGACAATCAACGCGGCTCGCCAAGCTTTTGTGATACAACTTCGTCGTGGTATCTTGTGACATACTTAGATGAGTAGTGTGTCTCTTTAATAAAGTTTAACTAATTAGTTATTATAAACTTGTACTTAAAACTAAGGTATTATGGTCTATTTTCATTTCAAGAACAATTATTAATTTTGTTTTAACTCGACTTTGTTCAACGGGAGTGATACTTCGGCCTGACAGGAGAATCCCACAGCGGTGTCTTTCGCCATGGAGGTTAGGTTCCCGGAGGCCCAAGCCCATTCCCCAAATGCCTGCTACCTACGCACTCAGAACTTCTGTGCGGCGTCGATTGCTTACAATCGGGTAATAGATACATATGGTCGATACCGAAGTACCATATTTAAAAAAAAAGTATCTAAAATGAATGTACTAAACTTAAAAGCGTAAGTTAGGTTGACTGCATAGAGTTATTTTTTTTTAATCAAAAGCAGGATGGATGTTTCAATTGACAGACAAATTATTATTATAAACCAATTTAATCAATAATTTTAAATTATTAAAAGCCCCATCAAAGTCTTGGCAATCAGTATCAAAACCGCTTCGCTGGCATATAACCCCTCGCTAACGGTGTCGGGTACAAGCGACCGATGTAAATCTATTTGTCATATTAATGTGGACAATTAGAGCGAATGCGGGCGCCAACCCTTGCGCGCGAAACCGCCGCGAGGTTCATTACACCGCCCAATTGTACCACACTGTATTGTGATCACAGTTTTAAGTGTATAAAGAAGTACTAAACTGAATTTTGTTCTTAAATTTTAAATTAAACGTCAATTTTGGACGTCAAGCAAATATTTCGAGTTAAAAATTGGCAGTCTATGAGTCGGTTCTCTAGAACTATTTGCTCGTTCCAAAGTTTCATATAGGGAAGATCGAACAAGAAACTCCATTAAATGTTATTTTTCATAACAACGTAAATGTTATGAAAAATGTTTTTTTTCATAACATTTAATGTCATGGATTTCCGCAAACCGGAAAGTAACGCCCGATTCCATGAATTATAAGAAACTACATTGTAACTCGAGAACGGCTGGTCCGTTTTGGACAATTTTGTTCTTAAAATATTCGATGAGATCCAGGGAAGGTTTAAAAGGTAAAAACATATAGTTATAATGTAGACGGTATGGAGTTTGCTGGGTCAACTAGTTACATAGTAATAATGTAACTGTATAAATATAAAAACACACGTTATAA